CTTCCTTATACACTCCATGAAGGCAAAAACAACTTACTTTGAAAAAAGTTAGTAATACCGTTGAAGCTAGCGAGAAAATGGCTAAATAGTGGAAACAGCTGATCACCGCGGTCGTGACGCGCCGCAGGCTATATTAAATTAGGTCCCTGGGATGGGCGGGCGTGTATTCTGGGCGTCATTGGCGGAAGGAAGAACCCTGTAGGGCCGCGTGCTTGCGTTCGTGAAGAAATGCAGAAATGCGGAAAATGCAGAAGTGCGGAAAGTGCAGAAGTGCGGAATCTGCAGAAAAGCAATAGATACGTATCGACTTGAAGAAATGCAGAAATGCCGAAACTGCAGAAGTGCGGAAAGTGCAGAAATGACGAAAAGCATTACATACGTATCGATTTGAAGAAATGCAGAAATGCCGAAAGTGAAGAAATGCGGAATCTGCAGAAATGCCGAAAGTGAAGAAGTGCGGAATGTGCAGAATGCGGAAAGTGCAGAAATGACGAAAAGCATTACATACGTATCGATTTGAAGAAATGCAGAAATGCCGAAAGTGAAGAAGTGCGGAATCTGCAGAAATGCCGAAAGTGAAGAAGTGCGGAATGTGCAGAATGCGGAATCTGCAGAAATGACGAAAAGCAATTCATACGTATCGATTTTCCGCACTTTCGGCATTTCTGCAGATTCCGCACTTTCTTCACTTTCGTCAAATTCTGCAGTTTCGGCATTTCTGCATGGCTAACGCCGTTTGGACTCCAGAAATTTCGTCTTCGAGCTCATTTTAAAAGTGGCAAGATCACCAAATCCGCTAAAAACTTGTATATAGGGGTAATTCAACATCCTGATCACGAATATGACATTCATTTTTGGCGCTGGATGACACTACGGTTACCTGCGCTCTGCTAAGGCTGAGCCCAGGAGGTAATCGTCCTCTCTTGGCGCCAGCGCCAAGAATGAGTGTCATACTCGTAATCAGGATGTTGAATTACCCCTATATACAAGTTTTTAGTGGATTTGGTGACTTAGGCAATTTGAAAATGAGCTCGAAGACGAAATTTCTGGAGTCCAAACGGCATTAGCCTTTCTGCATTCTTCAAGTCGATACGTATCTATTGCTTTTCTGCAGATTCCGCACTTCTGCACTTTCCGCACTTCTGCATTTTCCGCATTTCTGCATTTCTTCACGAACGCAAGCTATGAACGCGGCCTGAGACGTTCGGCTATATCCCATTCAGCCCGTCTGCCAGTGACGTTGGCGACATCAGCCCTCTCTCCAGTGACGTTGGCGACATCAGCCCTCTCCCAGCAATCGTGCAGATGAACACTGCCTTCAACTTGTGCTCATCTCCTCTGCAAACGAAGAACTCGCCCGTTCGACCGAAAATGGCTTCCGTTTGAACGGCCGAGTTCCCTGTTTGTTTAGAAGGACTCGCATCACGTGATTTTTTTCTGTACAATATCGAACCACATCTATAAAAGGTGTTGAAGGCCTAATCAATGGGCTACACATCTGAAATCCTGTAAAAGCCTTTCTGAACTTTTTGGTTCTTTTGGCAGCCTTTTAGAATAACAGCATGGAGCTATTGTTATTACACATGAAGGCCATAGTGAGGCATCAAGACAGCAAGATTTTTACAGAATGTAGTCTTCGTGAAACGACCGGCGTACATAAGTGCACAGGATTTCAAGTACGCCACTTCATAACGGCTGTGGTAGAGACTGACGCCGTTCAATAGTCTTGACGCATGGCAACAGACTGCTAACGTACATGCCGATAAGGATAAACGTAGTACATGGTGATCATCGGATCGAGCATTGGTCCTAAATGAATGGAGATCGTGTTCTTCTTTCACTGCCGAACAAAGATTTCTGAATATAAAAAGAGCCCAAAATCGTTAGTTGAGAACTTCGGTAAGAAATTCAAATTTTTCTCAAGCACCTTAAAGGTTAGGTTAAGAAAGTCGTCTGCAGAGCATATACATTGTCGTGTGGCACGCTGTTTTTGTCTTGAAGGTGACGCCAACGCCGATGTTGAAGCCCCCACGCAGATCGGTGCTTTGGTCCCGATCTGGGTATTGGATAAAACCCTGATGTTGGAAGGCGTTGCCATTTCGTCCCTGGGAAGGGGAGTGGGTCGTGAATGGCAGTTGGTTGTTCCGTTTTAGAGGCTCATCACTGGAAGATTTGACACAACACGGTTTCGTGCCCTGCACACAGTGTCTATATGCAGTCTACGCTGCACCTCCAGAATTATTGCTCTTCCTAAATTTTTCTCTATTTCCCATCTTCAGAAATGAAGCAATACTTCGAAAGGTCCTATGGCAGAGTTCTGTGAGGGAAAATCACTTCGGATGTTCTTATAAGTACTTTCTGTTCCAAGAAGTTCCATAAATGCATTCAACTCACCGATGCATAAACACGGCACGATGAGATAGCTGCTCGATACTGGTTTGTAATTCTGAGCGTTGACTGTTGGGACCCAAACTGGACAAGCACGTATAAAACAGCTGCAGGAAAAATCGCTAACACAGGCACAGCGGACTGGAGTGTCAGGGCCTGTGAGTAGATTTTCTATGTGTATTGAGCAATAAACTCTTGTTCTTGTGACAGTTTTCCATTAGGTTGACCGGAAAGTTCTCAGCGTTTTGTGTTACTATTTTTGTACATTCATTGCTGATTGAAAACTCATTCTCCCTTGCGTCTCATTAGTAATTCTGTAGAGGACTTTTCGCGCTATCTGATGGTGTAATTGCCGTTTGACCATTGCTTGATAACCCCCTTTTCTCAAAACTTTTTGAAGCATGTCAAAAGAGCAACTTCGGACGATCTTTTTAGTCAACTACAAATTGAGTCAATCCGCAGTCGAGACAGCTCGACAAAACAACCAGGTGTGGGGGCCCAATAGTGTCGGAGAAAGC